CCCCAAAACCCCAAAACCCCAAAACCCCAAAACCCCTCAACTCAGTTAAATTATTGAATAATCAGATGAATTCGAATATGAAAGATCTGTCTGGCTCTGGTAAGTCGCGGCTCTGGTTCAAAGCTCTTAAAAGGGACAGATAATCTGGGATTTAAGGTTTTAACATCATCTTAGTGGACCTATCAGTGGGAAAAATCCTGGAATATCACACTAAGATATTAAAAGCAATGTGTCCGGCCAAAGATGCCGACCATAAAGAACAAATGGGATATTATAATTACTATTGCCATTATTACTTCACAGAAGAGGAAGAGCATAAGCTAGATTCCTGGAAAAGCTCAATTGAGTCAGTAAGAATTAAGTTGGAGGGAATTAATGGTCTCTAGGTGTATTGGAACATGACGAAGAGAATAGTTATGACAATGGATGAACTCTTAAAGGTATAAAATATGAAGTATAAACCTAATAATCCCAATTCCCATTCTTGTAATGCAAGAATCTATCATTTTCTTCAATACTACTCTATTTTCTCCACTTTCTTTCAGCCTATGTGTTATACCAAGGCTCAGACTAAAGGTTTCTGTTAAGAAATATGCTAAGATGCTATAGATAATCGTACTTGATGAAGCTAATATGAAATCTGTCAGCAAAATCATAGGTAAAAATCATGGGCTAGCAAAGTTTGAGAAGCAATTGAAAAGCCAATGAGCCCAGCGAAGGCCCTCATGAAATCTTTGATAGAAATTTTTGCCATTTAGAGCAATTTTCGAAAGCACTTGGCTTTCCAGAGACCAATTTCAACTTACCTCCCTGTTCATTTGGATTCATATAAATTATGGTATAGGAATTCTTGAAGAGAAGAAACATCTAGTTAGAGCATCCAAAATATTCAGTGGAAAATATTACATCAAGGAAAAATAAGAAGAAAGGCTTCTGGGGTAAAACCTTAGCTTAAGTAATAGGCTCATCCATTTTCAGAAAGGCTAAAGAAATGTTTGTTAAAGAAGAGGAAGAAGAAAAACATGAATTAGTAGAAGAAACTAAGAATCATGTTGTTTGCATTAGTGCTCTTGAATACTTCACCAAGGAAATGTTAAATCATGTTGCTGTAGAAGAGCTAGGTAACAATTTAAAGCTAAATGAATAGTCCCGATAATGACTCACAAGAAATTTCATGATTTATGAGTGGAAAGGTTTCACCTAAATGTCATCGAGAAGGGTCTTTTAGAAAAGCATTTGCTCAAAACTGGAAATATCAAATACTCAAAAGCAACTATAACATTTGATAAAGGAAATTATTACAAGGAATATCGCGTTATGCGATTTCTGAATCTCCACGAGCTTAGGTATAGTTTCCAAGTTAAACTTTAGGGTGAATAAAGCAAGTAACAAATCAGAAGTATCTAATAAAATCACCGAGTTTCAAGTGATGTTATTTGAATTAGAACTGAATCACACAGAATTGAAATAATAACCTTGTCCAAGTTGAAGGGAGGAAGGTAATGACTCTTCATGACCTCATAGGAGTTTGTCGAAAATAGTATCAAAGTCACACTCCAAGAATGAGAGGTAAATTCTTTCACTAGCCTCTAGCCCCCAGTCAAGGATGAGCTGAAGGATAAAGTCAAATTAGAAATCAAGAAGCTTAAACTATTTGATCATATTTGGATGAAACTCAGTCAGTGAATTGAGCTGATCAATGAGGAGTTTCCGAGAATCAAGACTTATAGAGAGAACATCCCTGACGAAACAATCAAGTACAGAGATCTTTTAAAGTATAGGATGTTTGTGGTAGAGACCAGGAAAGATCTCAGGAACCTCGAGACCTCCATGGAATATGTTGAAGCAACTGATCTAGACGATGTACCCAGAGAAAGGATCCCAAAATGGTTTGAAGATGCAGAGGAAACGGAAGAAATTGACCTTGAGCGTGAATTTTACAGCGTAAATACTTTCTATAACTTTCTAGTACTTCAACGAAATCTCTGTAGATGATGGTTTAGAGCAATATGACAGTATTATTGATAAACTTAGACTTGATGTCAGGTGACACACCCAAAGTTTCTTTCAAGAGTCAAAGGGACTTGATGACTCCTTCATTCATACTTATGTTAATAATGGGCGCAATATGAACATTCTTGACAGAATCAAACAGTTTGGAGATGAAGGGAAAATCTATAGAGGATCCATGGTGATTAACAATGAAGCTGAAGAAAGCGATGAGTCTGAACTCGATCTGGAAGAGATATTCAAAGAACCGTTGTAGAGAGTCACTAATAGTTCAATTTTATAATATTTTAGGGGTTTTGGGGTTTTGGGGTTTTGGGG